AAACTAATTTTAGTCAGGATATTCATGTATGAAAACCCTCATCATTAAGATATTACTAAACAAAAAACAACTTTGGTAAATCACATCTTTTTGTCATTTCTTGTGTCCAAAACTGTGCAAAAACTACATCTATAATTATGATTGTACATAAATGAAACAGTTTACACAATTCTAAGCAAATTTAGCAGTTACAGTAGAGTTAAGTTTACTTATTTCTTTTAAATAACAATTCTCTATCCAAATGAAAAAGTTCAGAACAAAAAATATTTCGCCTTGCGTCAAAGTGAACAATAAACTATTATTTAGTGATGTAATTACAAAGGTAGATAAATCTTTTGTTATAGGCAAAGAAAGGCAGTAGATTCACTTTTAATCACCTTTACTAAAGCATTTTCACCCGACTGCGCTAGAAGGAGGGTGATGTTTATCATAGACAGTTTTGATTAACACTAGAAAGGCCGCCGTCCCATTTTTGTCCCACTCGCGAGTTTGATCGTCTCTAATTTTTTTATTTTTCAACGAAAGTCCATGAAACTTTTTGACTTTTTCTGATTTATTGAATTTTATCATTTTTTAATGTTTTTGATAATATAACATTAAAAGAATTTTTTTTAAAATCGGTTTTACCTAGAAGCGCCACTGGGTCAATTTTGTCCCACCCTGGTATTTGCCACAATAATTCGATGAAGAGTCCTTTTTTCGAGGAGATACGAAAGTGGAGAGGTGAGGAGAGTTTAGGTGACTCGTAACAATGCAGAAATGTAAATATATTGTTCTATTTTTTGCTGTGACTTCACTCGTGAGAAATTAAGTTTATCATAGAAAGACCTAATTTCTTGACACTTATCGTTGCTTTTTGACCAAATAACTGAATATTATTCTAAATTATAGCGTATTTTATGTTATTCTGAAGAATTAACAATAAAACTGCAAAGTTTTATTAAGATCGGCTTAGTATTTTTTGCGTAAAAGAGTGAAATAACATCCGTCGATCTAACCATGAATCCATACTCACTTAGTTCAAGTTCCAGGCATATATCCACCCATTCATCCTTCCTATCCATTCATCAGTCCATCCATCCTTCAATTCATCAATATTTATTAACTTTTACATTTATAATATTAGTAGGAAGGTGGCTTCTAGACATAAGCCAGTTCATACATTGTATGATTTGATACATTTTTAAAATGTGTGACTTATAAAATTTTGAAGATTAAACGTACATACTTTTCATTGTATTTGGTAAAAACTTCATTTTTGTGTACAGATAACAGAAAAATAACCATACCTATAGAAATTCCTAAACACATAGTATACCAGAGAGACAAAAAACCATACAAAAAAACTTTGTGCAAAATGTGCACTATTATTTGTAAGATATTTATTTTTTGTTTAAAAATAATAATGACTAGTTAATGTAGTAATTTCATTATTTAAATACAGTATAACACCATGTAATATGTGACTATTTTTAAATGAAACCAAAAATATCTGACTTTTAATAATTCAAAATTAAAATTGAATACTTTTATATTTTTAAAGAAATAAGTACATATTGATTTAAATACATAGATAAACTTTTTTTAAGGATACTCTACAAATAGATTTAAACATAATATTCATGTCTAAAACTAAACAATGTTACAAAATACATGCTGGGACAAAATTGACCCAGCGGCGCTTTTAGGGGGGTCGTAATCTTCGGCACTTCTAGTGTTAATAATTATAATTCATCAAACCAGAAAAAGTGATTGTGTGATACGTTTGGAGAAACAAAATTCATTCATTTTCCCCAACCTATCAGGCCAGCATAGAAAATTTAAAAAGATAGATAGATAGAAGTTTAGAAAGATAAATCAGTGAGAGTGTACTCCTACAGTGGATGCTGAGTTACCTGATGATGAAAAACAGTATTTGAACGAGATTAAATTAACACATAGGCCTCAAAAGTAAACTTAAGTGATCTATCAACACACAGCTCAAACCACTGGACGGATCGGGCTGAAATTTGGCATGCAGGTAGATGTTATGACGTAGGCATCCGCTAAGAAAGGATTATACGAAACTTCACCCCTAAGGGGGTAAAACGGAATCCACGCGTACGAAGTCGCGGGCGGCTGCTAGTCTCATTATAATACAGGCTATTTTGCAACAAACTATACTACTGTATAGTCTGATGTGATGTCGACTCTACATTCTATCCTTGGCGCATGAAATAAGGTTCATTTTCCCGGGATTACCGATCCTTACTGATTTGTGGCAGTTCCTTATCCAGTCAGTGAGATGAAATAGTTTTGCACCACTGAGCTGCGGGTACCGTTGTTTTTTGCCTCACTATTACGTTTTCAATATAAGTGGCCGGTGTAGTTACCCGTGATTATGCCACAGCGAAAATACAACAAACATTCCACCAGCTCGCACTAAGCGTTTCGACGATTCGTTTATAATGCGAACAGCTAGGGACTGGAATTCGCTGCCTGCTGCTGTATTTCCTGAACACTATAATCCGGGCGTTTTCAAGGCGAGAGTGAATAGGCACTTACAGGGCAGATATGTACCATCCTAGACTGATTCTCACTTAACACCAGGTGCGATTGCGGTCAAATACCTGCCTTGGCTAGCATAAAAAAAAAATAAAACAAACAGCCACCGCAAATCTAAAAAAAATCAGCAAAACGAGAGTTATTTAGTTGAGTTTAACTCCAAATTCAAATTCAAATTATTTATTTGCTCAAAAAATACAACATAGATGTAAAAATCAATTTGTAATTAATAAATTCAAGTGGTCATTTTAACTGAAATACAAATTGATCTTGCGTCTTGGCTATAGAAACCTTCAGTAAGAATAAAAGGCCAAGTATTTTTTTTAATTTGGATTTTTTTTAAATATGAAGCTGTAACTTCATGAAATGATACTGACAGCACGTTTTTACGAAACAACGTATTAGAATTTTCTTTAGAGATTGAGAGTGTATTGCATTGAAGGTATATTTTTTAGCTTAATTTCAGTCCACATGATTTATAGGCACGATAACCGAACGGTGAAGGTGTCGGATTGGCCGACTCGAGATCCGAGGAACGCGGGTTCGAATACCACCGCCGCTTGACTATTGTGGTGAGCCCACTCGTAACTCAAGCTTATTTAGCTTAACACGAGGGGCTAATGGGACTATTAGTAATTTGGGTAATACAAATTGCTAATAATCTTTAAAAAAATATCGCTAAAGATGGCCGTATTAACCCACTTGTTACTAGCGTTCTTTTAAAATAACGCTAGTTTTTACATTAATATTTTTACTAATGTGGGTAGTGAAAACAATTTTTATATGCAACATTTGAAAGATGAGGTGTGTCGCAGTACTGTCCAAGTCTTATAAGTACACTGACTTAAATAACTATAAAGTTTTGGACCGATTGTTTTGAGATAAATTTATCATGACTGATTTAAGGTAGCCTAAGTGATAGAAAAAGTTAATTCCGTAACAAGTGGGTTAATGACCTGGCTGTTCTCACTTAATTTTAACGTCTTGTTGTCTACTTGTCTACGATTATGTTGACTACATAATGATGAGAGATGATTCCGACAATTTGTTCTTTACTGGGAAAAAATATTTTTGTACCGCACGTTACTTTTTTGAAACGTGAAACTTAGACTAAGTTGCACCACCTTATTTTAACCGTAACAATATCAATAACCGGCGCTTTTTGTTTGACGTTTGACAGATTTTTTACTTTTGTCAAAGTTAAAGTAAAACGGTGCAACTCAGCCTTAATGTACATCAGCTTAGTTCTTTCAAATTGTGATCTGCAAGCTCACGTTAATATTTTAGAGTGCTATAAAACATTTTTGTAACTCCAGTTATTTTATCTTAATGGCTTTCATGATTTCGTACTTTTACAACATTTATTTTATGTATTAATGCAACTGATATGCTCCAGATATCATGTCCTCGAGACGCTTATTCATTTCAACTAATCTGAGACGATCGTTTAAAAATGAATAAAAAGTATTATACTAAAGTTTAAATTATTGAAGTCAAGCTAATACAATAATTGTAACCAAATTATTTGGTTAATTAGACACAACACAATTTCAAAAATACACGCTTAAATTAGTGTCGTCAATGATTTTTTTTATCAATAATGTAATTTTACAAAATAAATACATCGAGTGTTCCCAGACCTGGCCATAAACAAAATAAGAAGAAAAAGTTCATCGAATGTCATTCAAACTACAAAACAAATGACTGTCGAATTGTTTGTTGCTTGAGTTTCACAAACATGAATGAGTCTGACTATGAAATAGAAATGAATCAGCTGTTCAAATAAAAGTGTCATAAGAGCACTATCGTCATAAACTGTACGAATAATAAAAGCGTAAAGAAAAATCTAAAGCGTAAAGATGATTGGAAGATACGTAGATTAATTCAATGAATAATAGTTAACTACTTTTATAAACTTACTTTTTGTGTGAACATCTTGTGATGCACCTATTCAGTAAACCGATGACCTGATGAAGATTGTGGGAAGCGCCTGAATGCGTGCAGCATAGGGCCAGATAACACATTTTTTAAAGGAAACCTTGGCCCAAATGTGGACGTCTTTCGACTCTAGAGTAGGAGGAACATTGAACTTCTTAATATTTTTAAATAAACTACTTGAAAAAATCGAACTGCCTAAGGCGGGTATCGAACCCACGACCTTTCGTTTGCCGGGCGACTGCTCTTCGAACTGAGCTACTTAGACACTGGATGAACCTGTCGAAGGTCGTGGGTTCGATTCCCGCCTTAGACAGTTTGATTTTTTCAAGCTCTTTATTAGCCCCGTTTCTAATAAAAAGTTACACTGTTGTTGAACACTGTTTTAAAATGACATTTTCATACTAAACGTCACTTTAAAACACTGTTCAACGACCGTGTAAGTTTTATTAGTAAGGGGATAAAAATGTAGTTTGGGAAGCGATTCTATTCGAGAAATTTCAATAATACATTTGTTGCAGACATTAAAATCAACATGCGACTGCATAAAAACGCAGCTATGCACGATATCAGTGTCGCTAACCCTATTCAACTCGGCCCGACTGCCCCGAGAAGCGTTCAGGTACGGAGCAGTTCCGTACCTGGTGATCTACTCGTTCTGGCTGCTCGTGGTTGGTCTGCCAGCGGTGTTACTACAGCTGGCCATGGGACAACTGAGCCAGCAAGATCCTGTGGGTGTTTGGAGGGCTGTTCCGATATTGAGAGGTGAGGTTTAACCTAGTCAGGGTTGCACCATATTATAATACGAACTATAACAATAAACCGGTGTTTTTTTAATGCAGTTTGACAGATTTCTGACGTTTGTTAAAGTTAAAGTAAGATGGTGCAACTCTGCCTTATTTTTCACAAAAAAAAGATGGATAAAACTGTTTTTTTCAAATTACTTTCACAAAGAAATATTTACAAAAATACTTTTTAACTAGCAACCTATATGTGTTTGTCTAAGACTGAAAAAAAGATAACTAACTAGCCTAAATTTTTTACTATCCAAATTACTTTTTTAAATAAACAGCTACTGAAATAGCTGGTTTACAAAAATTATACCGTTAGCAGAATCAGATCAACTGGCAACGTGATGACGATTTTCTTCAACGGATTTTAATCTTTAAGCCTTAGTAATAATACCCATTGAGGTTTGACGTAACTATTATAGAATTGTTACTTTCTTAGCAATTAGAGTCGCTTCTCAAACTAAATTTGCTGCCTACGGCGGGACTCGAACCCACAACCTTCCGCTTGCCGGGCGACTGCTTTTTCAACTTCCCGGGTTCGAATCCCATCTTAGGCAGTTCAATTTTTTCAAGTTGTTTATTTAAAACTATTATAGAAGTTTATAAGACATCAAAGATGAATTTTTAATTGATACTTGAGGCGGACTTAATAGCATATTCCCATTCCTAAGGGCATTATCTGCCAGTTAACCTTCGAGTTAACAGAAAAAGATTGAAAATCAACTACCAATGTCGCTAAAAATTAAGTTACAGTTTTGCGTGTGTGATATTGTACGTATAAATTATGCAATAAGTATCTGACATTTATATATAATTTTTTTTATTCCATTCCAGGTGTCGGCCATTTAAAAGTGATGACGTCATTCCTGTGCTGCGTGTATACGGTGATGTATGTGGCCCTATCGCTGGCCTACTTGATATGGATCGGGAAGGGCTCGTTCCCTTTGAAGGACTGCACTCGCCTCCATATTACTCCGGTTAGTGCATTTTTATTTATTTTTTAGATTAATAAACCTATGTTTGTCACCTGTCATCCACTTTTCAATGGAGAGAAGTCGAATCTTAACTTCGAACTCCTCCTATGTTCTTCTGATTAATTTCGTTGCGTGTCCAATGACAGTTTAACTTTCCCCCGGGACAAACTTGACCTTCACCGGTTGGGTTTTTATTGGCGGTCAAGCTGTAGATCCTGGCTACACAGGAGTTGCAGCGGTGGGAATAAGAGGTGGGAATAGTCCCGTATTAGAAATTGGCAAACGAATAGGTTGACTAACATAGGCCAACATGAGAGAATAAATTTTATAATAATACATTACATTAACTTAAAATGACTTAAAAACTAAAATTTAAAAATTACTAATGATAAAAACTATTTACAAAATAAAAAATACTTCACCCCCAGCGCCGCAGTCGGGAATGGTGCCCAAAAGGCTGGCAGCATTGCCACGTTGAATGGCCAGGCTAATTCTCTGACCAAAATAGCTGCCAGCCTTTTGATCACCGGTCACCTCGGTGAGCCTCTTTGCCAGTTCCTTATAAAAGGAACGAGCGCTTGGACCCCATGGTCCCATAGTCTCAACCCCAAACGGCAAAAATATATAACTCTCATTGAGAGCTGCATATTTGCGCCGCTTGGAGCACTCAGCCGAGGCCGCCGCCGCGCCTGCGGCAAGGGAGGTACCTCCTGTATGAGACGGAGCAAGCGTATCCGCGCATGTTGCGTCCCACACAAGAGGACGTCCCTGCTTCCAGGGAATGAGCGTCATGCCGTCAGGTCTCTTGCCGTCGTCACGGAATATGCCGTTAGGCTCTAAAACTGCTGGCACATTGACGGCGACAAGAGCTCTGCGGATGACGTCATTGATGCAGGCGTGTCGGGAGACTCGACCAGCGCTCATTTGGCATGAGAGGCCATGGTGTCCTAACTCACCGACGCGAGTACCGCAACGACAGCCAACATTATAAAAATGATACTCAAAATTCAAGTAAAGATTATTTTGTAATGGATGATCCACAGAATCGTATATTACTTTAAGGCGTAAAGCTAAAATTCAACCTGTAAAATACTTTAAATCGAGTTTTGTTTTTCTGTAGAGTCAAGTAACACCTCTACCCGCTAAGGCCGTTGTTACAATAATATTGTAGGTAGCCTGGTAGGACTTATCACATTCTTATTATATTTTTGAGTATTGAAGCTTGAGTTATCTTATACTAGTGACCTGCTAAGTATACATATAAACCTTCCTCTTGCATCACTTTATCTATTAAATAAAACTGGATCAAAATCCCTTACGTAGTTTTAAAGATCTAATCATACATAGGGACAGACAGCGAAAAGCGACCTTGTTTTATACTACGTATGTAGTGATTTAATACAGGCTGTGATTGACTACACTTTTCATGGATACGTCATTAATAATGCACTTAAATAATCTAGTTTTGTGTTTTTTTCAATCAACTATTTCTGAGATAAGTAACTAAACAAATTGACAGATTGATGTCAATCAATCACATCGTATAATATTGTGTGAGAGTGCAAAATAATTGACATGATTTTCACATAAATCAACACATCACATAACAATAAAGATCATAAAATTTCATCCGCGAACGTAACAACACTGAAATCACTTAAATTATCAGAATCCTAAAAAAATATCATTTTTATTTAGGTTTAGTTAATTTAGCTGTTACATTATTTAACTTATTTTCTCTTAAATAATTGAATTAAATAACATAATTACTTAATTACATTAGTTAAGACGTTTTAAAAATAATGTTTTCGATAATTATGATCTAATTTTATTGTGAGATAAACCTAAATTATTAATGTTGTTGTTTTTCAGCGCGGCTATGAAAACAAGATGAACGCGTCGGAATGTTTTCAGTAAGTTTATTATTATTAATAACTTTTTTTTAAAGTGACCGTATTATTTTAAATTTATTAATTTTAAGCGTAATCAGTTGCTTGGAAAGATTTTTATTCTCTAAACGAAGATTTTTATTTTTAAGTAGTTTTTATTCGTGATATTTTATGTTTATTAATGACTCAAATATAAGATTTCACTTAAAAATACTGCTTCAAATTTCATATTTAGTTAAATGCGTTAATTTACCTTTTTATAATTTTTTTTCATTTAAGATATTACTTAAATGTATTAATATATCCATATTGTCTGATTTATTGTCTACGTCAATAGCAACTAGCAATGTTTTTCTTTAACATTATTTATTAATTTCTCCAAAAGTTCTTTATAATTAATTTTCTCTCTTAATTTCTTCTGAAGTTCTTTAAAATTAATTTTCTCTCTTAAAAAGACAATGCCATTTATACATTCGTAATTTATTTAATGTAACCGAATGTATTTTTGGTACGGACGACAGCACATCATCCTAAACACAGTGGCGTATTACCTCGTTGTAATACAGGCTATTTTTAACAAAAATGTGTAGGTTGAAGAGCTGTCGACTATACTAAGATAACAATATCTGTTGGGAGTCGATTTCAATCCATAAAATTGTCAATACCTATTGGCATAGCCTCCAGTTTGTTTAGTTGAAAATCAAAGACATACTTATTGAAATACCTATGTATTTTATTTCAAAATTTTCTAATTTTCACCCTTTTTGTTTTCAGTTCAACGTTCCTGGCCCCATTCACCGAGTACCCGCAGTATTTGGGCATAATGGCGATCCTAATATTTGTTTTATGGTTTTTCGTGCCCATCTTGTGAGTAACTTTTAACATTACGTTCATTACCATTTACTGTACACTGAAAATATTTTAGTGTTTAATATTGCAAACAGATACAATACGTATTTCATCATTTGGGACGTGTATAAGTGCTCTCCTGTTTTATAAACTCTTTCATTTCATTTAGTTACTTTTATAATGGACCAAGTTTGGGCTCTCGTAAATTTTATTTTGATTTTAGGTATTTGGTACAACTACAATTTCTCACGCTACAAATTTTTATTGGCATGGCCTCCATTTTCATTCAAAAATATCGTTGACGTCCTTTATGAGATAGTATTTTATCTTTAAGTACTAATCTGGTAAAGGTCGCGGGAAGTACCTGGATGCGGGGAGCACAGGTCCGATCGTTGTAGAAATCCTTGGGGGAGGCCTTTGTCCAGCAGTGGACGTCAATTGGCCGAAACAAACGAACGAATCATATTGATTAAAAATGAAAGTGTGTGCTAAGATACAGAAATAGCTGATTATAACTTAACTAGCGGGCGGGCGCGACTTCGTACGCGTGGATCCCGTTTTACCCCCGTAGGGGTGGAGTTTCGTAAAATCCTTTCTTAGCGGATGCCTACGTAATACCATCTACCTGCAACTGCATGCCAAATTTCAGCCCGATCCGTCCAGTGGTTTGGGCTGTGCGTTGATAGATCACTCACTATGTTAGTCAGTCAGTCAGTCACCTTTGAGTTATTGTACATTTGGATATGGTTTTGAAACAAATAATTCCAAAAACATAAATTAGATAGCATTTTGTGACAAACAAAATACTTAGTCGTCTATAAAAACTAAATTAAATGTTTATTCGCTAATTATTTCAATGAGATTGCCCTGAATTTGAACTAATTTTCTAGTCGTGGGCAATTTAATTGGTTCATATAAATAAATGACAGTCAGACAATTAATATTAATTGTGCCTAATTAACAGCTAACTATTCATAAATGTGCGTTTTCAAGAATAAAAGTATATTTGGAACAAAAAGTTGTTTTTTGTTTGTTACGAGTCTAATTTATGATTCTGATACTTCTGTAATGACAGAAATTATACAATCAAAAAAGGCATTTCTTCCTGGTTTCTTTTGAATAGATAACATAAATTTCAAGTTTTTAGTATTACGAATTATTGCAATAAGATAATTTATGAAGCTGAAACGTTTCCTTTCAAATAATAAAATAAATACCTACAGATTACGAAACCCGAGGGAATGCATTTTATTGTTTTGCTGACTGCGACAATTTTACGTTATAAATGTTAGGGCTTTAGAGGAATAAACAAATATGCAGGTACTGAAGAAAACGTATTACGAACGATAGAGTCGCATGAACAATAACATTTACGTGATGCAATAAATATATTATCGGTAATTATAGATCCCGTCACATAGAATCTAACTCCTGTATTCACAAACATTACTATGAGGTCTCACAGTGCGCGTGGACGCACAGGGTAACACACGAACCAGTCACAGAGCTCTATTTAACACTGTGCGTTAGATTTCGCTTTATTTAAGCAAGCATGGTTTATGAATACGGGCGTTCACTAAGACTGATTTATACCTTTTCCTTTACAGATTGTACCGCCTACGAAAGTCGCTAAAATCGTCGCTGAACATCATTGGGCCAATTATAATCATTATCGCAGTAGTGCTGTGTACATTTCTGGCCAGCACTGAATCCTTGGACTCTATGTTCGCGTCCTGCGAGCGATGGACGCCGATATACCAGGCGTACATTTGGCACAGCGCGATGGTGCAGGCGCTACTGTCCACGCAACTGATGAGCGGGTTCCATATAAGCGGTGGAGGAACCATTTACAGGCATTCTGATGTGCGATGGTAAGTTCTCTCTACTCTACATGACATTGGTTCTTTTGAGATCTGCTTGACCCAGCGTTATTGTGTATCATCATCATCATATTAGTGTGCTTACCATGAGTTTATGTTAGGTATGCTCACTAGCGACTGCGTAAAAAATGACGTTAAAAGTATAGAATTTTTGCACTCGCTAGCTATTAAATCTAACGTAAAATTTTGATATTATAAAGAGCTGTGGTTTTCTGAATAAAGAAAAATAAAATAAAATAAAATAAATAAGCACACTGATTATTTAGTCTCCACAGTCAGACGAATAGAATTAGATGTCAGGAGGTTAAACAACAGGATTTGGATTTAATAGGTAGTCATTTGACGTGGATACGAGGTTAAAAAGAAGAATCAATCAAATCAAATAAAAAGTATTTATTTACACACACAGACATTGGAAACATACATGAGACATTTACATCATGTTTACACTGTAAGAAGCCTGCCTCATTTAATTGTCAGTTAATTGTTATTTTATTAATTGTAAAAATTTTTTTTTGTCGTATTCCAGGACATCCATGTCAATAATAACAACAAATCTCATCGCGAGCTGGGTCTGGGTGTTGATATGGGAGTCGATCGGCGGCACCGGTCGCAAGGACACCAGCTTCGCAGCCATCCTGGTGTTGATCTACCAGTCAAGTGTGTCGGAGAAAAGGAGCAAGGAGTGGCCCCTTTTTGGTTACGGAATTGTTTTTCTTTCTGGCATTATCACAGTGGTAAATATAATTTTTTAATCACCATCCGATGTTTCTATCTTTTGGATGTAAAAACTAAGGTCAAAATCGTGTGAATTACATTGAAACATGCCGTCTCTTACGTCTGTTAATTAAATTATGAACAATGAAATCCAAACTGTGTGTGACCTACGATTACGTATGATCAAGAAAGCCCATCTCTTCAAAAAGTATCTTACTACATATATCACGAAGGCGTTCCTGCGCTGCCCGTATCCAGGTTCTTCCAGCGACCTTCACCAGATCGTTGGTCTACCTAGTGGGGCCCTGCCCACGCTACGTCTTCCGGCCCATAGTTGTCAATCGAGAACTTTTATCAGTGGGCTGAGTGTGAGTTTTCATCAAAAAATGACATTAAATGTATGACGAATTGTACAGCGCCCCTAGCTGGAAACGTTCAAAAACTAAAAGCATAAATTTTTTGTGTGTGACCACAGCTCTACGAGCTATGTGCCGCCCACTGCCACTTTATTAATTTGGTTACCTTTTTTTAAATTATTCTTCCTCTACATTTCAGCTAACCCTACTCTTCCCTGTATACGACAAGCTCCATCGCATCGCCGGCGACCACTGGCGGCTCTTCGCTGCAACACTGTCAGCCATTGGCACAGCCTTCACGGTAGCTGTTCTGACGAGGGGTGTGGAAGTGGCTAGCGTGTTGGACGAGCTGGCCATGCCGGTGCTTGCCGTGTTCACTACCGCCAGTGAGGTGGTTGGATTCGTGTTCATTTATGGTGAGGAAGAAGTATTGAAATCAGAAAACGTGAAAAGTTTTTTAAACTAAAAATATCAAGAAACAATAATAATATTTTAGTTCTGTCACAATAAATAAAACATTAGCTGAAATCATTTTGACTCAAGATGGTTTAACATTTTTTATTGTCCAGTAACAGTTTCCATCCGTTCAATTCATTTCAATAGCATGCTAAAAAACTATCTATCTTATCAAAACCATTATAATCACGACATTATAGCCACTGCTCCGAAAAATCAGGTACTCAAAAAAAAATTGTAAACATCTCAATAGAAAGTAATAAGATCTAATTCACATTTTCAGGTTGGTTCTACCTATCAGTGGACATAGAATTCTTGACAGGCAATAAGTTGCCGTGGTTCTGGGCGTTCTCCTGGTGGACCATACCTGTTCTTCTCATTGGAGTCACTGGATGGTGGCTGCGGACCCTTATAAGGGCCACTTGGGGCCAGGAACAGATGCTGTGGCCCTTGGTCGGGGTGTTCATCGGAATATTGGTCATGATGATCGTCATGGCGGCAGTGGCTGTAGCGAAAGAGGAGCAGTTTAATTTGGCATCGGTAAGTTATGATTAAATTAGGTTAAAAAAATAGATATTCAAAAGGAAAGGTACTGGACAATCAGAAATCTAATAAGTATTGATAGACTTTGATTCTTAGTCAACTAGTTCATCACGTTGCGTAAGCGAGTTTTACTAATTTTGGACTGACTATTTAATTATTACCTACTATCTATGCACAGTCAGTCAGAAAACAGAAAATTTTCGCGAATAAATGTTTATTGAAATTTACTTCACTTCTGAAGTTTTTCTAACTTCTCATTCAAACACTGAATTTTTTAACGCAATATATTTATATTGATATGTTCTCATTTCAGAAAATCACATCAGCATTCAGTTCATCTCGACTATGGGGCCCCGAAGAACCAATGGCGAGATACGTCTGGATGTCCCAACGTTACGCCAATGAGATCCAGAGCTCCAACGACGCCCATTCCGAACCGATCAACTACTCGCAAATCGTATTCAAAACAAACAACGAAAAAAACGATAACTGGATCAAACCCACAGAAAATTACCAAATCCCATACAGCGTTTACTCCAAAAATGGATTCATAGATAGCAGTAGCACAGAAGTGTTTAAAGACGTCACAGCAATATACGCACCACATTCAATACCTAGAAGTAAAAAGAAGAGGAAATCCGAAGAGAAGTTCAGATCACCAAATATCTGCATCGCCAAAAACGAACTAGGCGGACCAACTAATTGTAATTGTAATAGACATTTCACTTTGAACGTGCCAGACCTGAGGAAGAATGAAGTGACAACAATTCTCTGATTCTAGATAGAAATTTTGAATTGAATGCTTCCAGTTACAACTATTCAGTTCATTTTATACCAAATGATGGTAGCGCTCTTGAACATGAAGACATGGTTGTGAATCAAAGTGAATAATTTGCTTGTAGTAAACAGTTGCCAAAACTATTTATAAGGATGCGCCTACATTCTGATACCAGTAAGTAGAATCTCAAATAGGTAGTAAATACAATATCGCTTTAGAAACTAGGGTTTTGAAAGAGAAGTTGCGAGGTTTGGTAACGATAGAATGTGATAAGCAAAGCCATGAAGAGTTTACGCGTACAACGAAGGTGTTGCCTAGTCGTCTAATTTATTGTTATGATAATCATATGAATCAATAAAGTGTTCATACTTTATACCAGTTTATTATCTTTTATTTCTTCCAATATTTGATAACCCTAAATAGGTACTCTTTAGAGTATTACTTTACAGATAGATGTCATATTCATTGATTTTAATAATAAATGGTCGAACTACTCATATAAAATATTACTCTAAGGCAATCTAAGTTTGGAAAGCTCCTAAAATGGCCCAACAAAATTATTGTTCGTTATTTTGAAAAGGATCACGGCGAAAGTATCTGACAAAAGAAACTTAAGTTTGGGCTCAGGAAAAAATACGAAAATGATAATCGTTCACACAGCGAGTGAGCTCGGGCGCGGGAAAAAATGAAAAATTGCCGAAGTTTTTAACATAAATCTCGGAAAATACTCTCAAAAGTATTACTTGTGAGAACCTCTCCATCAGTTTCTTAAGTGTACTAACTTATTTTGATAGGTACCAGACCCTCTGCATGAGTATTGATTACTGCGCAGATGTGGTTTTTAAGACAGTTAAGAAAGATAAATATATTTTAGCATAATAGCCAAGGAAAATTTACCAAGTGACCTTTTATCATGAAGGAATTTATCTATTTTAACAATACACTCGTAATAATTTGGAGTGAGGTCTACTTTCAGTTTGTTATGCTGTTTCTCTTCAGCAGCTAATCTAATCAGCTACCCCTAAGCAGTGGTAGGGTTATTAATAAAAGTTGAGTTATTATGAATCAGACGACGTATACAGAAGTTTAGGACTGCAAGTTGTCCTTTAATAGTGAGTACTTTGTAGCGTAAAAGCCGCGTGATTGTCCGATCTTATGACATGACACGACAGCCAAAAACAAGTTCAAAATTGTCTGTCAAATCACAGAACCTACAGAAACTATGCCTTATGCTTTGACCTTACTCGAAGCAGCGTTCGACCGTCCTATATCAAAGTTTCTTCCAAAACAAATGGCCCGGAATGATTCCCCCTGGCGTTAAGTGCTGGCTTACTCCCGAATTAGGTTAAAGCACTCATCATCATCATCCATCATTTCAGTCATAGGACGTCCGCTGCTGATCATAGGCCTTCCCCAATTATTTTGCAGATTAGCCGGTTTGTAGCGGCCAGTATAATGAAGCAAATCCCAGGACCATGACAACGAAATATCCAGAAGTTTAGCACTATTCGTCCTTTAATAGTAAGTACTTCGTAGCGTAAAAGCCGCGTGATTGTCCGACCTTATGACATGACACGACAGCCAAAAACTGTTCAATTGTCTATCGAATCACAGAACCTACAGACACTATGGCTTATGCTTTGACCTTACTCGGAGCAGCGTTCGTTCTACATCAAAGTTTCTTCCAAAACAAATGGCCCGGAATGATTCCCCCTGGCGTTAAGTGCTGGCTTACTCCCGAATTAGGATAAGGCACGCGTGGGTCATTATTCCGCGTTTTACCGCTAATGAAAATAATAAAGTGTTAGTAATTTGCTAGGACCTTAAGAGGACACCTTGTAATATCGCATTTTATCGGATAAGTAATGGGATTTAAGGGGCGATATTATTTTATTATGATGGCGCCTTGACCTCGGGGTTTTTACTGATCTAGTTGAATAAAACTTCCTTTAGTTTAATAGAAATGGTATATGAGTAATGATAGAGGTTACAAAATCATACGATCTTCATTAACAGTGGAAGAATGGCTTTTATTGTCAAATTTTTATATACCACTGTTTGACATCAATAAAACAGTCTGTCAGGTAGGGATTATAGTTCCAAAACGTTTGTTAGTCGTATACCTCGAAATCAAAAAATCCTTGTAGCTTTTCACCTATTCGCATTTCGCCGCGATATCAAAATTTCTGAATAGATTTTTATTCTTGTAGTATAAATTTTTGATCGCTAATTACAATTGTCTAAAAAATTCATAGTAGATTTACTTTCCTGCCTGTCTTCACTGTATAATAGGCTATTGATAATACATGCTACATCAAAATTTGCTACTGATGTAAAAATCTGTTAAAAATATATGCTAGTAGCAAAATATACTACCGATATTACACGCTACAACAAAAAACGATATCACGGTGAAATGCGAATAGGTGAACAGCTACAAGGATTTTTTGATTTCGAGGTATACGACTAACAAACGTTCCAAAATACTGAACTGTCCTATCCATAACATTGACAGTGGGGCGCCACCGTCAAATACCAGATCACTGGTTCCAATTTTTGCCATGTTGGAAACCATTATTATAGTTGAACGATGGTAGCGCCCCCTGTCATTAAGTTTGGTGGAACAGTTCAGCGTGGGTCATCTATTCATACGCATGACTATAAATATTGCCAACTTCTTCATCTTTACTACGAATAAAATCTGTTCATCATTAGCAAATTGTTTAAAGCATCAACCATATGTTTACTGATTTTCTTTTCAAATAATGTGGCAGAAAAATCACGTATTTGTTTTACAAATAAATGTTAGCTTAATATTTTAAAGTTTTCATTGATATCCCTCTAGTAATTAAAACGCTCGAACAGTCTTCCAACAATAACACTCAAACCCAACTCCTTAATTTTTCTAACAATAACAGCGAAAACCAAACGTCCTTAATTTATCCTAACTTCGACGAACCCAAGTGGAATCCTTAAATCAATCGTGAAGTGTAAAAGCCGATAAAAAGTTCCAAACGAAATAAATTGAATGATAATTTGTTCGATGTCGGAACATAAGGAAAAATTACTCCCGCTTTAGTGATGGGCTGAATCGATAAGATGAAAAACGAACTTATCGAATTGAGATTCAAAACTTGAATGAAACCGTAATGCCAATAAAATTGTTTAAAACTAATAAAGGAAAATGTATGTTCAAAGATGTTTTCAAAGTTGTTAATCAATGGCGACAGGCAAAAAAAAATTGACATAATTAGGTACATAATTCGTTATTAAAAAAAAACATTGAAAAAATATTAGCGGGTAGTTGCAAATTTATTGCTTAGTCAACTTTGTTTTCATACCTTCGTTCAATGATCGGAAAGTCTCAGTTGCCCAGCGACAGTCAATGTGCACACCCGTGTGTTGCGCACGCTCCACGAGTGTACGAGTGACGTTCACTCCTTTTATAGACCGTGTATTTTGTGGTTGTTCGCGCGTGTAGCCGAGTTCTGTGTACCATCATCATCATCAGCTCCGAGGATACCCAGGCAAAAGAACATCGTGGTCTACAGGTTGGTTCCGTTCGTGGCATCAGCTTTAAGGTTAGTGAAGCTTAGATTACCTGTCTGTATTATAAGGCCTTGGGCAAGGCCAGGGAAAAAACGCCTTACGTTAAGCGACTTTTTGAAGTTGTACTTATCGATAAAGGTGTTAATTATGCACAACACTATAACCAAGACGAAAACAAGATTGATAACCGGAGATAACGCGCAGACAATCGGTTAACATTGGACTTTTCAATTGGAAATCTTATAGATTCTGAACGCGGACCCAATAGCTTTTTTTATTTGAGAAAGTCAAAGTTGATTAGTTAAAAGGACTGCAGTAACAATCCTAGTACCTACCTAATATCATAATTGTGAATGTCAGTAGAGACGGGTAAATAAATGTCTTTTTCACGAAAAACGGATTCTGATGGGATTATAAATAGTCTAAGACCCAAAGAAAAACATAAAAAAGTTAACGGGGAACTTATTGGCATGTATCTCACCTGATGGTAAGTGATGATCAGGTTTAAGGTGAAAGCGAGCTTAACCCGGAATCTTCAACCACAGAGGATTATTATTTATCTAGGTTCTTAAAAGGACACGTATTTAATAAAGTCTTTCTTTTAATCTGAAATCAGGCTGAAAATCACTGCAATCTCACTACAATTAACAGTCAAGCAAGACATACTTAGGTACCCGTAACTACATCATTGTAAGGCTCTATTATCAAAGTTTCTACACTAGCAAAAAGCAGCTACCCTATGCAAGTGTACATCACGCATCAAGTTAGAGCACGGCAACTTGAGAAATTACTTCTCCATGCAAGTTGGGACTGTCTTTGTGGAGCTTGCACTGTAAGTAGCTCAAAGTTGCAAGTTTAAGTTGTAAAGTGTTTAATATGTGAGCAAATTTCATGGTAAGAGTAATTTTTAAGTTTGTATTAAGAGGCGAGGACTTGCTTCATTACTCTTATCTCGGAGGCATGGTTTATTTTATTTTATTTCTTGTTTACGCTTTGTTAGGGCTTTATTAAGCATTTCAGCTACTGTAGAATCCAATTGTTGACTAGATTAATTTTGAATTGAACTGATCATAAAGGCAATGGTCGAAATTTGAATATCGAGTTGAAATCAAAGACCATTAGCTGGTGCCAACTGTAAACTGGAAACTAAGTTGATAATCAAATTCCACAATGGCTGCTGCAACGCATCGGACTGCAGAAGTAATAGACACTTTAAATGCTGTTATAGGCATCTTTATGGAAGCTACGAGTATAATGTGTTTCAATTTATGCGTCGAATCCATGCGTAGTACCAAAAGTACAATTCAAAGTTGTCTCAAAGCAAAATAATAATTACGATCTCCAGACAATTTCCATTTTAAATCTATATTTATAAAAGCGAAAGGTCATTGATTGACTGACTCACTCACTTATTACGAAATCTCAGAAACTATAAGTGCTAGGAGTCTCTTTGCATGGGGTTTCCTTTTAGAACGTAGGTGCTCACTAAGAATGGTTTTTACGAAACTCCACCCCTAAGGGAGTAAAACGGGATCCACGCGTATAAAGTCGCGGACAGCCGCTAGTTACATAATTGTACTGATTCTATTCAATACTCCAAATTAAAAATAAAGAGCAATAGGCTCGATCCAGTAGGTAATAACCGAGGTCCCCGGGGACGCTGAGTTACGAGCGCATTTGTCCCCGCACGACCTGACGGTATCTGATTGGCGGAGGGCGAGGCGTTAAAATGCTGCAGATAATTCTTTAAATAGAACTTTTGCTGGGATTGAAAAAAAAGGTAAGGAAAATTTAAATATTTCACTCGATTCAGCCAAATGACGTCCCCA